TCTAGGTGTTTACGGATTCTCCTTGTACATATCATCTTGGTGCTTCTTGATATTGTATACACTGTGGGCTGTCATCCCTACGCCAATATTGAATCAGTTAGGTAGTCAACTTCATCAGATGGAATGGTTACTTTAGAGTTCAAGCTTTTTTCCTATCATCCACTTTGAGGCATCACATACGTGCCAGCGAAGTACTGGGTTATATTGATCCCACTGATACTCGTCTCACTCATCATATTATTTGTATCGTCAATATTTCTGCTTAATATATATCGCTTCAGAGGATATAGAATCTTTGAAGAAGTCGAGGTGAGAAATTTTTTCTGTAATTTTTTCTGTTCATATCATGCAGGTGGTCGCGAACGATTTCGGCGAACCTGTTCCAGTATCTGATATTTCCAGTGCCAAGAAAAGTAAGCTGCTTGCTTGAGACATATTATATAGGTTTTTTTGTAATTTTTCGTTCAGACTGATCAAAAAGAACTGCTGAAAATAATCATGCGGTCATGCTTAGCGTTGAACTGTGTGGTGAAACGCTTGAAGCATGGTGGAAGATCGACTTTGAGCAAGACATTTCCTGCGAATAGTATCAGCCGTGGATCGCAGGTTGTGGCTGTTCATAGTCTATTTCAACAGTTTCTTTTCAAGTTCAGGTCGAGTTAATACATAAACGGTTATCTGCCTATGAACGCACGCAAGCTGCTGCAGAAGCCGCGAAGAAGAGCAACTTCGCTACGAGCTCGCTAGCTGCCGAAACTTTGATAAAGTAAGCTTTAGATAAATAAGCAACAATTACCCTCCACTCGTTTAGGACCGATAGTAATTATGGAAAGATCATAGAACGAAGAAATTCCGAAGAACAGACAACTCGGAAGCCATCTATCAATAGCCCTGACACTGACCATGAATTACCACTTGCTGCAAAGCCTATCGCAGAAAATATCTTGCATAAACCTGCATTAGAATCTCAACCTTCTGGAAGTATGTTCTTGAATTCTTTAAGAGTCTCTCCTTACTCATGTTCTGCAGGCGAGGCAGCCGGTGATAGGGGATATTACGTAGAGGGCAATGAGTACGTTGACGACTACGTGTTGGGAAGCACTGCAGATTTCTCCTATGACGAAGTAGCAATGTAAGCTTCCAGAATTTTTTGATTTTCCATTTATATATCTTCAGAACAAAAAGTTTTACTGCAAGTTTCTAGTTTCTAGATTCTGCAAGGGTTCGAAGGTAGAAAGACTCCCTTTTTTTGCGTTTCTGAGCCTTCTGTAGAGCTGTTTCGAACCGTGCTTAGAAGCTTGCAAAATGTTATAGACCCCTTTTCATGGCAAATACATAAATAGCGCGTTTGTTGGCTGACCCCTAGCCAACAAACAAAACT